TACCACCTTCTTAGGGGGCTAGCTGAGCTCCCCTGGGGAACCGGAGACTGAGCTGGGGCCTCGTCCTGGATTAAAGAAAGCTCTATCCCTCCAGGGGGATCTGGAGTCTGAGTAGAGTCCTCCTGCTGCACTGGAGGATGTTCAACCTCATTAGTGGGCTCTAGAGTTAAGACAACCTCCAGATCCATGGGTTTAACTGTGATATTAGGCAACATTGGATGTTCAACTTCACCTGGACCTAGAGGTGAGAATGTCACTTCATTATGTACTGAAGGTTGAGCTGCACCATCTGTAGAGGCCCCTGGAGGCTGAGTTCGGCGCTGATACTGGACTGGAGAAGGTCCAACCCACTCAGTGGGCTTTGGATGCTGAGCTGAGCTCTCCTGCTGGCTTGGAGAAGGGTCAGTTTCCTCAGGAAGCTCTTCAGGTTGAGTTGGGGCTCCCTGCTGAACTGGAGAAGGTTCAACATTCTCAGAGGGGCTTGGATGCTGATCTGAAAATTCTTGCTGGACTGACAAAGGTTCCAACTGCTCAGGGGACACTGTAGACTGAGCCGAGGTTTCTTGTTGGGGTGGAGAAGTTTCAACCTCATTAGTGAACGCTGGAGTTACTGTAAGTGCAAGATCCGCAGGTTTAACAGTGACATCAGGCCACTGCAGAAGCTGAGCTTGATCCTGACCTAGAGAAGAAACTGTTGTCACAGGATGCTCTGCAGAGGAAACTACAGTCACATTAGAGAGCTCTGGAGACTGAGTTGGAGAGGATTCCACCTCACCATGAGACTCTGGATGCTGAGCTGTGGCTTCCTGCTGAGGTGGAGAAGGTACGTCAGGAGCCTGTAAAGCTGATCTGGACTCTACTGCTGGCTTGTGGCAGGTATAACCTCTTCTCCACGATGCTCCAGATACTGAGCTGGGGTCTCCTCTTGTACTGAAGGTTTATTACGTGTACTGTCTTCTAGAGTTCGGCTGGAGCCTCCTGCTGAACTGGCAAAAGTTCAACCTCCTCAGGTGCTGTGAAGGCAGTGTGGGGGCCTCATGTTGCATTGTAGAAAATTCTGCATTAGTAAGGGGCACTGAGGCTGAGCTGAAGGCTTGCGCTGATTTGGAGAAGGTCCCACCTCTGGAGTGGGTTCTTTCGTTATGGTAAGCTCCACATCTGCATGTTTGACAGTGACACCGGATAAGTCTGAATGCTGAGCATGAGGGTGACTTGGAGGTGAAACTGTCATTTCATGATGCTCTGGAGGTTGAGCTGGCTGTTCCTGTTGAGTCGGAGAAGGTTCCACCTCCCCTGAAGAAGGCTCTGGAGGCTGAGCTGGTTGCTCCTGCAGGGTTGCAGAAGTTTCTATCTCCGCTGGAGACAGAGCTGGGATCTCCTGCTGGGTTGCAGAAGATTCTGCCTCATTAGGGGTCTCTGGATACTGAGCTGAGGCTTCCTCCTTGGTTGCAGAGGTTTCAGGTTCTCCAAAAGACTCTGAAAGCTGAGCTGGAATGTCCTGCTGGGTTGCTGTTTTCACCTCCTCAGGAGGCTCTGTAGGCTCGGAAGGCTGAGTCGGTTGATCCTGTTCACTTGGAGAAGGCTCAGCGTCCACAAGAGGCCCTGGGGGCTGACCTGTGGGCTCCTGCTGGGTTGGAGAAGGTTCAACTTCCCCAGGAGGCTCAGAAGGCTGAGCTGGTTGCTCCTGCTCCCTTGAAGGCTCAACCTCTCCAGGAGGCTCTGGAGGCATAGCTGAGGTCTCTTGTTGGGTTGGAGAAGATTCTGTACCCTCAGGATGCTCAAGAGGTGGAGGAGTCAGGGCCTCCTGCTGAGCTGTAGGAAATTCAGCTTCCGTAGTGGGCTCTGGAGTGATGGTTAAGTTCCAAATCCAGAGGTTGAAGTGTAACACTGGGCAAGTTGGAATGAGCATGACGCTGAACGCCAGGTAGAGATGCTACCTCTTCATTCACTGGAATTTCATGTACATACTCAGTAGGGAGACCTGGAGCCTGAGTTGGGGCGTCTTGATAGAGTAGAGAAGGTTCACCTCCTGAGGGCTCTCTGGAGGCTGAGACAGGGTCTCCTGCTGGACTGGAGAAGGATCAACCTATTTAGTGACCTGTGGAGTTATGGTAAGTGCCAGATCCATAGGTGTAATAGTGAAATTGTACAAGTTTGACTGCTGAGCTTCATTTACCCCATGATGTGCTACTGGTCGAACTACAAGCTCCTTAAGTGTCTCCAAAGGCCGGGCGAGGGCCTCTTGAGGACTTGGAGTTTCTAGTTCCTCAGGGACCTCTGAAGGCTGAGGTGGAGCCTCCTGCTGAAGTGGAGGTGGTTCTACCTCTTCAGTGAGCTCTGGATGATGAGTCTGGGCCTTCTGCTGGGATGGAGAAATATCTCATCCTCCTCAGAAGACTCCCCGTCGTGTAGCTTTTGTGCCATACTTTCCTTGCGTGTGGTGTTGAGAGGCCTATACGTATCCCTATGTCAAAGTGGCCGCGTTCTCCCGAAAGAGCCCTCCTAGAAACAGAAAGGGAAATATTAATTCTGCATCTCCCCTGCTTTCTCTGGCCACAGTACTTTCTCCTCCTCAAACTTACCTGACTCTCACTTTCCCCTGAGCTTCTCTTACGCAGCAGAAATCGAAAAAAGCCCCTTGGAGGAAAACACACACAGTTAGTGTTACATGTCATTTTTCATCTCTCTCACAGTGTGTTATCTCTGGTCGTATTAGGACTAAATGGGTACCTCAGTCCATAATCACAATGACCAAAATCACAAGAGACCTGGGATCTTGAAAATCATTGCATGCATGCTGTCCTTCCAGTTCTCTGTGTCTGTCCAAAATGGCCCTCTAGTGTCTCTGGGGAGACTTTTACATGTAGCTTAGCATGGAGTATAGGCAGGATTTTCAGCCCCCCTCACCCTTCTCGGTCCTTGGCCAAGTGACATCGTGCAGAGAAAACACTGCACAACGGCGCTGGGCAGAAACACGTTACTCTCTAGATGCGCTTCACACCAGTCCGCTTTGGATATAGTCGCACATGCAGCATTTGCTGGGGATGTGGGTGTGGGGAGAAGGTGCTTTTATTTTCCTGGCTGCTCTATCCTGTAAGTTGAATCACACCAAGTAAACACCTGAAACCAATGAGCAAAGTTACTATACCTCTCTGACTTTCATACTGCAGGCTGTCACTGAGGTGTCAGTGAATTGTGGGATCAGTTTAAAGGCCATGACCAGCAGGGAAACACAAAATACTCTTTTTGAATACAAATAGAAGAGAAAAACATCAGAGTGCACAATAAGTTTGTTTCAGAAACTACTTATGTCCATATGGTATGTGTATACTGAATTGTGACATAAAAGGTAGCTCACAGCATAAGCACAGTGCGATCAGTAGAGAAGTCCTCAGTGGAAAGGGACCCTCTTCTTTTTGATAATCACTAGCAGTATGACCATGGGGCAAGATATTTTCCCTTTCTCCTTCTCCATTTCCTTATTATTAAAGGAAGAGACAAACTACTGTCTAACGTTTCTCCCGGTTAAAATTCTATGAGGTTTGGATAAAGGGAATAGAGAGTAGGGGCATAAAAAGCAGTAGGATGAGAAGCGAAGTTTCCTTGCCAAATTACAGAAGGGACTCATGTGTTCTACCTTTTGTCAGCTTTGAGTGAGGCCAGCCCCTACATCCCCAACCATGTGTATTCAGTCCTCATGATTAAAGAGAAGAATCAAGTAGTAGGAGGAGGAAAGGTGGCTTTGATTCTCAGTTTGTGGGTTCTGAATCTGAATTAATTATCATCCTTACCTCAATGAGACAGATAATTGTAACCAAAATCGTCACTACTACAGTTACAGATATTGCCAAGATGAGTTTGTTGTTATAGCCATATCCTGGAACTTCTTTTGTGAGCTAAAAATAATAAATAACTTTTTTTAAAACAAGGAGATGGAAGGGAGGAAAGCTAACTATTTTTAATCCTATTCTAAATGATAGTTAACTATTCTTAAAATACTATAAAACCCAATCCTTTCAGGCGAGTAGCTTCTATAAGAACAAGCCAAATTGAATGTTATTAATCTTATCATTAGCAACTTCTTCTACAGTTTATTTATCTACACATTATTTATCTTGTGTTATGTCTTTTCTCATCTACCCTAGGAATAGTGGCACACTCTCTAAACGAGCAAAGTGGGAGATCACTGTCTTAGCCAGTTTCATGGCTGAAGATAAGATACAGACTAGGAGCCCATGGTATTCCCGCTTGGGCACGTTAATGGCATGTCCTAAACTGAGTAAAAGTCCAGCTCCCATGTGTCAGGGGTTATCCT